GCGCAAGCATTTCTCTTCCGGAGTTGATAATATACACACAAAATTGCTAGCTGCTGTAGAAGGGTGTTATCGAAACTTTGGCTGGATTCTTCCAACACTATTTTGACGAAATGTGCGTGTCCGACATGTGCAAATATGGGATGATTACTCTTATTCACAAGGTAGTTGTTCCAATCCAGCCAACTACCGTCCCATAATCGTACTACCGGTTCTTTCAAAGCTCATAGAAGCTAATATTCCGAAGCGCTAACCGCAAACTTGGAAAAATTTAACTACATCGCACCTGAAGAGTATGGCCTCCGACGAAATCGATCGTGCACTACAAACCTCCTGCTAGCACAATCCAGCTGGACTGAAGCAGTAGACCCTGGCACATTAGTTCATGCAGTCTTTCTAGACTTCTCAAGGGTGTTCGACCGGGGAGACCAGAACATACTGGTTTACAAATCCGTGACATTTGGTATTGGTGTTCCTCTCTTAGGATGGATAAGAAGCTTTCTTCTACTCCGGCGCCTGGAACTACGTGTGCACGAATCGCTGTCAGATCACATTCGACTCGGTACTTGGACCGGGATTATTTTTGACGTATATTAACGATTCCACACGCATCATACACTCGAACTGCCCGCTTTATGCCGATGACATGAAAGTGTGGAGGGCGAATTATACACCAGATGATACCACAGTACTTCTTGCTGATTAGGATATGGTGTACGCTTGGTCAATCCAGAATCTACTTCGATTCACTGTGGACAAATATGGAGTGTTGCACTTACACACTTACACAATAAGGATCACAGTATGACTCATTCAGCGGAACACTTTCAAGATTAGTTTAGCTGGCCCCTTGCTCCCGCACCTCTTCTTACTCAGGTGATGCAGGACGAGCCAGGGATGGTTAGTTTAGAGCCGCCGTCGGAGGCCAAGGTCCGAAACGCGATCACGGCCTTCAATCGTTTTCGTACCGCTGGCCCGGATTCCCTGCCACCTGCACTATTTAAGGATAGAGGTGAAGTCCTCTGCACTCTCCTCCCTATTCGAAGGCATCTGGAAGGAAGGAAGTGAGGCTGCTGATTGGAACGAATCGATTTTACTGGCAAGATACAAGAAGTTCAGTCGCACAGACGGTTCTAATCACAGGCGCCTTAGTCTAACGGCAGTTTTGGCCAAATTACTGGCCTCGATTCTACTTTGTCGCCTCACTGTGAAACGGGAATCTGGAATTAGGGAAGCGCACGCAGGTTTCCCCCCACGGCGTGGCTGTATACACTATATATTCGCTTTACGGTAGGTGCTAGGACATTGCCAGGCATACCGCAGGTCGACAATAGCTGTTCCTCGAATTCAAGAGGGCGTTCGATTCAGTCAATTGATCAGTTCGGTTCGAAATACTTGCGCGGAAAGATGTTCCCCCGAGATATGTGAACATGCTGCGTGCTCTTTACTTGAACACTACAGGCCGCGTCAGGCTTGACGGTGGCCTATCGGATAGTACGCTGACCACTAGTAACGCTCATTAAGGTTTTCTGATTTCCCCTATTTCGTTCAATTTCGTCGTGGATGCCATCATGGGGTGTTCCCTTGTAGAATCTCACCATTTAGATGTTGAAGTGCTGTCTGATGAAAGATTAGTTGATCTTGATTATGCGGATGATATCTTCTTACTTTTCGACGACTTTGCCGCGGCATAATCAACCCTGAATAGCCTGTCTAGAGTGGTCCCAAAGTGTAAAGTGCTGCTGTAGGATAACCAGTTACTTTATGACCCCATGACACTTGCTAAAGAGGAACTCGAGGTGGTCAATCATTTCACTTATCTTGGCAGCTGCATCAGCAAACATGGACGCCTAGAAACTGACGTCAGCTCACGCATTACAAAAGCTAGAGCAACCTTCTTGAACCTGCGGCATCTTTGGCGACAGAAGGGAGTTTCCCTCCGTCTCAAAGACCGTGTATACAAGGCCACATTGAAGGCCGTTCTGCTCTATGGTAGTGAGACTTGACCCCTTCCGTCTGAAGAGCTGAGGCGCCTTCAAGTCTTTGATCATCGTTATCTGCGAAGTATTGCTGGAGTCGGATGGCACCAGCGTGTCCGCAACGACGATGTGCGTAGGCGAGTACCAGGTACTGATAATCCTGCTAGCTCCCTAGAACAACAGATCGCACTGAAGAAATTGTGTTGGCTTGGGCACGTACTACGTATGCCTGGTCACCGCTTACCTAAGAGGGCCTTGTTTAGTCTGCCAGGTGCTGGGTGGCGCAAGGCTCCAGGTAGACAGAATTTGACTCTGCAGCTGGAAATGAATTCACTGACTACCAAACTGCGTGCCGTTGGTCCGTCTCTCCTTCCGCACTGGAGTCCACGTGACTCGCCTTGTGCTTGGCTCGGGACTTTACAGGACATGGCTTGCAACCGACACCAGTGGCGTGTTTGCTGCCGTCTCCTCATCGAATTGCCTGTTTAAAGTGTGTTTGTGCTGTGTTATCAGCTGGGTAATTGCTGGTTATGACGCGGGGCAGTAAATTGCGCAAGGAAGCTGTCTCCCCGATGCCGACGTACCTTGGCACGATAGCCAGCTGGTTGGGACGGTATGTTGTCTACACAAGGTGTAGGTACCCTGACCCAGAAAGTAACCTAAAGTCATTAAGACGTTCAGGTAATTCCCCCTTCGCTCCATTTTAATATTCATTGTTTCATAGGTCCACATGGGTTAATGGCATCGACGCATCATATCAATTTGCGGATGTACCACAGTTGTTGAGGATGATGATGATGACGACGAGGACGATGTTTAGGATGCTGATGCTGCTGCTGCTGATGATGCTGATGATGATGCTGAGGATGATGATGATGATGATGAAAATAATAATGATCGATGATGATGATGATGATGATGATGATGATGATGATGCTGCTGCTGCTGCTGCTGCTGATGATGATGATGATGATGATGATGATGATGATGATGATGATGATGATGATGATGATGATGATGATGATGATGATGATGATGATGATGATGCTGATGATGCTGATGCTGCTGCTGCTGCTGCTGCTGCTGCTGATGATGATGATGATGATGATGATGATGATGATAATGATGATGATGATGATGATGATGATGATGATGATGATGATGATGATGATGATGATGATGATGATGATGATGATGATGATGATGATGATGATGATGATGATGAGTATGCTGCTGCACCTACGGCACAATTTTTCGCCCTGTTTTAAACTCGGTAACCATGAGCTTCATACCACTTCTGGCGAGAAGGGTCTGGGAGGTTTATGCAAGTCGACCTTGGATGTTGGAATCAGGCTGAAACTACCTCATTCAGGGGCATTAACACATGGTCCTCATGAAGCGTGCATTCGGAAGCTTCGAGCCTTTTTCTATTTCCGCTACTTTTCGGCTCATACAAACGGCTACATGCGCAATACGTAATACTGCTCTGGCGGCCAGCCCTGAGGAGAGGTTTTACCGCATTAGAGATGCCCCAACGCTGGGCACCCGGGAATTTCAAAGAGTTCTCTATTATATGCTGATTGAACGAAAGTTGCATATGCTCGGGATCTTCAGCAGCCCGGATCGGCGATTGCACGGATAGATCATTTTGAATTGTCTGCTTTTGGGTGATCCAAACCCCCTGTGCCGCTACTTGCTAGAGCTCAATCACAATAGCAATTTGAGAGGCTACCATCTCAAGCTGGCAGAGCAGTATAGGTATTTGGAATGCCATCGGAATTTCTTTTCCGTATGCGTTCGCCATATGTGTTCTCACGCTGGCAGCATTCAAAGCGCGAGTTGACCGTGCACTTATTTCGTTGCACCATCTTACATGACCCATTACCCATGGATACACACAATTGTCTGTAAGAGATTTCACTGACGGTTCATGTCCCAACTTTTGTTCCACGTTTTTCACCTCCTGTATGTGTACAGCAGGAGGAGACACGACTTTTACCAACATCCCATTTGCTGTCAGTCTTTATGGATTTACCTTAGATTTACAGTCTTTACTACGTATGTTTCAGTGAGTTTCTCAATGTAAACCCTATTTTGCCAACAATTTTTTTATATTTTGTATATTCAATATGACCACTCTACAGGACCGGTTAAGCATTAGCTTTTTTACCGGTATAAAACCATTCTTTCAATGTTCCAGTATTCGCATTGACCCACAGCACCTGTCATCGAATTGAAAAGAAGTGAAGCATAACGAAAATATTTTCGCTTAGATTTTTCACTTCTGGTCCGCAGGAGATAAACACTTAATGTGAATTATGACTTCCGTGAAAGAGATATCACAATGTATCACGCGTTTGCAGTTCTCAGGAACAGGGTAATCATAAGCTATTCCCCAGCTGCCTTAACCGTCTAATGTCTAACTTCAAGGGAATGTGTTACTCAGCTTGTTCTTAAACAGTCACATCCAAGTCATTGCCCATACTATTTATATGATGAGGTTCGCCTTAACTACAATACAATGTCGTACGTGCCAGAATTATGTGTGCGCGTCCTGAATTAAACCAGACTCACATCAACATTTTGCGCTGTGTGATTGATTAATCGCACCCGTCGTTGGGTCGTTACCACGTCCACACTGGATTTTCAACCTCAAACACAGGTGATATTTGACCTATCTGCATTTATATCACCGTGGCTCAATCGAGAAGAAATATGATTGTGGCAGTTTTGCCCCCACCTTTAAACTGGATATTGTGTATGTGAGTGGGTCTACGAGTGAGTAACCTACTTTGTCGAGAGCCCATCTTTAGGCAATAACGGCTGTTCGCACTTAGTGACAGGTAAATCCAGAGGCAGTGGACCCCTTTGATATTTCACGGACCATTATTAACCTACGACATTGAAAAGCAGAACAATTTGCTCCCATGCCCAATAGAGCAAACATAGCTGTTTACTAAGTGCATCTAACAGTAATTGTTCATCAAATGTATATATAACTGCTTTTTGATTTTAACTTGGTAGGAGAAGCTGGTGGAGGTGAACGCACTGAAAGAGCGACTGAACGCCGTGGAGGAACGGGCTGATGCTTCATACCGGGAGTCCGAACGCCTGAGAGAACGCCTGGCTGAAGCAGAAAGGGAAGCCAATAGGCTCTCGAGGAGTTTATCTGCTGAGAAGTTTGAAAAGGAGCGTGCCTTGACCGAACTTCGATTAAATACCGGATACCGCCCCTCCGGATATTCCAGGTAAGATTTACGCTGTGTGTAATCCAAAAACTGCTGTTACATCTAGTTAATATCGCAAATCCTTCACCGTTGTAGTCAAGTTTACTCACGGAAGTTCGGGCCTTAATAAGAATGAATACGAGCAAATAAGGCGGCGCCACCAAGTCAGCTGACTCAGCGTGACTCACACTGAGTGCAATCTGTTGTGAATGAACTGGTTATTTGACATGTGAGCGAAAGCGCCCAGTAATCATGTGCGTACGGCGTCATGTGACTTTGTCACTTCAGTATGTGGTTCAAGTTCATCTACAGGGAATTTCAATTAGGGTTAGGGTTAGTGGCACTGAAACCCTACCCCTAACTTTCATTTTTTGTATGTTAAAATAACGTTAACTTTCATCTTTTTTAGACTATACAAGTCTAATGAAAACCCTAACTCTAACCCTGACTTCATGAAGAATCTCCCATTTAGCGACGCTGCACTGTTTCGCCCGCCTTGTCCCCTCAGTATTGGTTACACGCGACAGCAGACGTTGTCACGGAAATCACAAGTCAATCCCTGGTAAAGCTCTAAGACTGAGTCACCGCTGTCCGGTTAGACCTCTATCAACAATCGGTCTGACAACCTCAACCAATGTTAACGTACGCAGCAATGCCAGCCGATGTCGATTCGTTATTACTGCTTATGCCTCCACAGACTGTGACCCCTGAAGCGGTAAAGACGCCTATCACTGAATACTGAATACGGTGTTATAGAGCAAGTAGAAATGAATTCTTCTGTACAACTCTTTCAAACTATGCTAAAATCGTTATAAAAATTGTCAGCCGTGAATATCGCTCTCGTTCTCAGGTAACATTTAGAATATCTGACTCACGGTATTGCAGGACTCACAAAGGTGACATGTCATCGTAATTGTGCAATCTTTCTATGAATCGAATAGTGGTAAAATAGATCTAACAACGTTTGAACTGCTGTTCTGGTGTTGCCTCCATCACGTGTTTAGGCAAACTGTTCCAAATATTTAGCGCTCTTCATTTGAAGCACAGTGGGTGGGGAACATGTCTCACATCCGGCACCATAAGTTTGGATTTGTGTCAGCAAATGCTGCATGGCCCTCGTAAGTGCAGTATTGGCTTCAGCATGGGGAAGTCCCTGAGATGTAGAATACCGTAGGTCAGAATGAGGTCAACTAGCACCCGACGGTTGGACAAGGTGTAGAGTCCTAGTTTCTCGCATCGGTCTTCATACCCCAAACCACGTAAACTCGGGATGAGCCTGGTAGCAACGCTTTGGACCCGCTCGATCTTTTGTGCCTCGCCTCGTGTAATCGAAAAGTAGGCGGGCGACCCGTACTCTAGCATTGGTCTAATGATGGAAGAGAAGAGGCGAGTGGCAACCTCTTCAGACCATGTGCAGAAGCTGAGATTGAGCGCCCAAAGCATGCGCAGTCCGTTACGATATAGCCTCTTCGTGTTGTCCACGAACTTCAAATTGTAGTGTAAGAGTACACCTAGGTCTTTCACGGAGGGAGTGGAATATAGCGTTTGGCTGTCAAGGGTGTAGGTTCGGCCGTCAGCACCCTTCCCGATACTTATAAATACAGACTTGGTTGAGTTGACCGGGAAATGAACTGCTGCAGACCGTGTGGATAGGCGGTTGAGGTCTTGCTGAAGTAAGTCACAGTCATCGGAAGCATCACTTTCTCTACAAATCTTCAGGTCGTCCGCAAACAAGACACACAGCGACCGGAGAAGCTGAGGTAGATCCTTGATGTGGATTAGGAACAGAGTGGGCCCCAGCACAGTGCCTTGAGGCACGCCACTTGTAAAAGGATACCAGTCAGTTAGATGGTCGTCGACGTGTACCCTCCACTTTCGTCCAACAATAGAGTCACGGATCCACCGCCGCAGTGAGCCACCGACACCACACATCCTGAGTTTGCGAAAGAGAATCTCATGGCTGACTTTGTCGAACGCTTTAGTGAAATCGATGAATATCATGTCGACAGACTTCCCCTTGCTTATTGCCTTCAACTACGCATGCATGGTCACAAGCAGCTTTGTAATGCATGAGCGGCATTGCGTAAAACCCTGTTGTGCTGGCGTCAGAACCTCGTTTGGCTGCACTAATTGCAGAAATCCCTTCTTCACGATTTTCTCAGCAACCTTTGCCAAAATAGGTGTCAGACTAATGGGCCTGTAGTTGTCTACTTTGCTAGGGTCGCCGCCTTTCGGAATAGGCTTCACCACGGAACATTTCCAGTCAACCGGCAACGAACCTTCGGACAGCGACCTGTTGAAAAAGTCAGTCACGACAGGAGAGGTGATGCTTGAAAGTGAGTTGAGAACCAGTGGGTAAAGCCCGTCGGGTCCGGCAGGTTTAGTGCCGCTAACGTTGGCGAGTAGTTGACATACCTCTTCAACGCTGCAATCCAGTCTGTCGAGTTCGGTAAAAGCGGTACACGTCAAACTCGGAACAGACACCTGGTTATTCGCAAATACAGAAGCGAAGTGCGCCGCCAACGCGGACGCACGCTTATTGCTAGAGGTTAGGGACAGTCCAGCCGAGCCATGCAGCACTGGCACACCACCTGTCGGCTTCATGCGTCGCTTCATGTAAGCAAAGATTCTCTTTGGGACGGTCTTCGCTGCTATTGCGAGCTGCACTTCGACATGTCGGCGCTTATTTTTTTCTGCACTGTTGCAGAGGTTTCGCTGAGGGTTTCGCTGAGGTTTCGCTGCCGACATTTCAATGACACAAATTGGGAACACGATGATGTCAATCTCTCCTTTATAAATATTTAACAGTCTTCCACAGATGCAGCTTGTGACGGAGACCACTCCATTTGGCTCGCGGCTCGAGGTATACCATCGAAGTCCGTTTTCCAGTAGTTGTGAGCTGTTTCCAGCCGATGTGAATACTGCTAAACTAATTCCAGTTCAGCCGTGAGCACGGAATGGTCGCTTGTAGCCAGGAACTCCAAGATTCAAACGTCCCGCACTTGTTGTTCGTAGCTCGTTAACATCAAGTCGAGACAGGACGGGGTTGTGCGTGTTGTTATGCGTGTTGGCTGGCATGTGTGTTGCGATGCACCAGTTTCAAGTACCAAATCCACGAACTTTGTTTCAACCTCACTATGTCCAAGCGTCAAATGCACACCAGGTCATCTTATTCGAGGTAAGTTAAAATCGCCCATAAGTAGAAAGCATGGACGACTCATGGGAGTTCGATGATGGGGCACCCAATCTAAACAACGACTCAAGGGGCTGCGATAACCTGCGCCCACAAGCAATTTTCCGCGCCTGAGGCGGATGAAGCACCACAGCAGCTCACACAAACCATCGTCACTTCGGTAGGTGCTCAAAACTCTCCGACGCAGAGAAGACCGGATGGAAAGTAAGACACCACCGTGGGCCTTCTTTAGTCTATCGCACGGAGGCACGAGTAACCGTTGAGTTCAAGTTCTTTGGTGTATAACTCTGAATGCAGTCATGTCTCCGCGAGTCTCACCACGTCTGGCCGCTCAGACGCAAGGAAACAACAAAGCTGATCGCGCTCGTTCAAAACACTGAAAAGGTTGGAATTCTACTCGCAGGCCGCAGCAAGAGCCACCGGGCGTGCTTGAATTGTAAGCAACCTGATTATTCTGCTTCACAGATTGTTGGAAACCACACGAAAATACACGAAACGAAGATTTGTTTCCCCTCACTAGTACGTCTTTTCAGCTCAATAATGGCGGACTTGAGCCGCTCCCTGTCTAGTGGGTCAAGGTCTGGACGAACATGGATCTTCAAACCTTTCAGCCTACTTAGGCGGGACATGATCAGTCTTGGACTAGCTTTCTCCACAAAAGTGATTCTCATAGGCCGATTTTGCTAATCACCTTGCTTTCCAGGATGGTTAATTTGCCTCACTTTTGCCGAGTCCTCACCAGCGTCGAGGAGTCTATCAATTAGATTTTGTAAAACTCGACATCGTGATCCTAGCGCACTTGGGGTGATGGATCATTGAACTCCGGCGCGTGGAAGATCACGAGATTATAACGTCTCCGGTCGGACGAGGTTGACCTTGCAGGGCGAAGTATATTACCGACCTCATGTGGTTTGGCTAACTGTTGACTAACAGAAGTTATCACGAACTCTGCACGTTGCAGCGCCATGATATTACTTTAGAGGCGGCTGCAGTAGGGGTTGGGATGTGGATGCACAGGCAGGTCGTCTGAGTACTTCGGACGTTCAGCTGGGTGATACGTTTGGGCGTTAATCCTGAACGCACGCACAGTGGTGAGCGCGTTTCAACAGTGCGTCCAGTAATGACTGTGTTCCAGGCCAACTGGGTGCCTGTGTGCCAATTGGCGTCCTCAGATTCGTGGAAAGCCGTGGACTCAAATAGGCCGCATCAGTCGCTGTATTTCTATCCTGATCTGTTGCTCATTCCGGACCATGTGTTTCGACTCTGTGCACGCTTTGATTTGCAGCTGTTTATTCCACGAGGTTTTTGGGAAGGGTATCGAACCTTTCCTTTAACTGGCAATAAAATATTAACGCCAGCTTCCAGTTAAGTTCAACTGGCGGAACCCTTAAATTTGGCCGCGCTTTACGGCTCCTCCCGTTAGAAGTTATCAACATGCACGTCCTCCCATCTTACATTTGCTCTATCGGTACTTGTTTTAATTTAGCATTCGTCCCTTGACTCATCTACTCACGCGATATCTTAAAATCGCAACGTTTTTCTACACCTGAAAGGCGTGCATTTTCGAACGGTTGTGTTATCAGAAAAAAACTGAAACGAATTCATAAGAAGAAGTTAGAGAACATCGTTCTGGATGGCGAGCTGCTCTTCGAAGGAGAATAATTGAGAGATATGAGTGTCCAAGTATTGCTTAGCACCAACATCCGTTCGCTCATCGGGAAATTAAATGAACTATCAAACGATATTTTCTCCAGTGAGCTACCGCAGTTTGGAAAAAACTATACTGCAAGAAACCTAGCTCCATGAAGCAGTGGATGATACAGTCGTA